CACAAGTACTATGTAGGCCAGCCTGGGAGAAAACTTGGCACAAGGCAGCAAGAACCTAGCCTGGCCATCCGCCGCTACGGTGAGAAATCCCTAATGTCAGTACATATGGGTGCCATGGACCATCAGTTTGATCTGGAGAACAATGAGACACTTGGGATAGCAAGAAACCGCAGGGCGCGTAAGTTCCTCGATGCCTGCCATTCGGGCCAGAATACAATCAACAAACATCTGGAGCTGGAGGGTGCCTACGAGGCTCTGTAGGTTAAGCCAGCAATAGGCGCCAGCTCGGCAAGCAGAAAACGTGATCACTCCTTCGACTCATGTGGACCAATCGAAGGCTGACATTCAAAGCAGGAAATTATCAATAGTCATTCAAGTCTGGCAGTGCTTTGCGATACTTCACGAATCAGGGCTTAGTAGCTGCACTGGAGATGTTGCCTAGCTTGGTAAGGAAACGTTTGGAACAGAAATACCCGGCTCGGAGAACAAGACAACCCCTCATTTTGCGGTGGGTTGCAGCCGACTGCGCCTGTCAGGGAAGCTTGATGGCTCTGTTGAACTGAGACAGTAGCTGATTTATTTGTGTGTACCTTCGTTTTTTGAGACCCTCCGAAACTCAGACAGATGTTCGTGCAGACAAGAGCATGGTCTGAGTCACGAAAAGTGGACCAAAGGGATCTGCATTGCTTTACACCACCCCACCATCGGAAACTGATTACGATATGATCAATCAGGTCTCGGAGTAGGAGGACGTTTCCTCGAATGCCGAAAGCTGGTGCTCAAGAGAAACAGATGATTAGCACATTGTGAGAATCCTTTCCCTTATCTGAGCGGCTGTAATCGAGCGCGTGGTGAAAACCGAGGTGACTTTCGTATGATAATAGGCGCCGGACCCGTGCGTTGAGATCCCCAGTAAGGACAACGATGTCGGATTTACTAGCTCTGCTCAAGAGCTGATGAAGTTCACGGTAGAAATCATCCTTGACTGTGTCGGAACTGCAGTCAGTTGGAGCGTAAGCTGAGATCACAAACAAGTTGCGTCTCTAAAGTTGAACTTGCGTCTCTCTTCACAACTTTTGTTTATGTTGCATGATCCTTGAAGCCGAACTTCACACAGTCGGCTAATCATCATTACACACTTTAGCTAGCGGTGAAAAACACCTCAACTACTGTGGTGCAATATTTGCCACAGTCGGCTATTAATCGGGAACCAGCCTAGCAGTGCGGCCTCGGCTTAGCTACTTAGCTCTACATTAACGCTATCCAAGCCTACCGCAGTTGCTTCTGTGTCACCAGATAGACGTAGGTGAAATATGGCTCCGTGGTCGGTGGGAAATCCCAACTAAAACACAGTACCGTGCTCTTGTAAGCGCGTTTCGGAAAGACAGCAAACATCGATGGTGAGGGATTCCATGGTGCGCTCAAGACCAATTTGCTGCCCGATCTGCATTAGTGTACGTACATGAAAACATGCCAAACGGATCGAGGACCGAGGCCGAAGGAGTGCGGCTAGGCGAGTTCTCTGGGTGTCGATAAAACCATCGGGAGTAATATCATGGAAACGAGAATCAACTGGTAACGGATAACAGTGATTGGTTAAAAATGAACAGGTGGCGTGTGAAGGTGAGTGACTAGCAGGAGCAAAAGCAGATGAGGGCGATATTGCAGATAAACAGTCAATGATTTTGTCAGTAAGCGTGATACTACCCGGTTGCCCAAGCCGAAGTAGGGAGTTGTCATAGGGGACTCCACCCTGAGCCTTTGGCTAAATAGCCTGCGATTGTGAGACTGAGTTGTTCTGACCCCTAACCATTGACCTGTCTGATATGAGTGGCTCTAAAGACACTTGAAAGTGCCACGCAGCACAGCTCATTAGGTCACAGAAGTACGCAAACCATCGCAACACGTTCAGCTACAGTCTCGTTACGATGTGCTGACTGCACTACCCGTGCCGATATGCACCTCAGGTAGAATATCAATAGTCGTGGCAGTGACTATGCCGTGAACAGAATTCCGAAGACCGTCTGACGGTGGCAAGAACTGATTTCGCCAAAGTTCTCTTTGCAGGGGTGTTTCATCGGTCGTTATTCTTATTGTATTGAAGGTGCTGTTTTCTGCTATCTGCACCCTTTTTTAATGTACTCGTCTGCTACCAATGAATCACTGAATTGCAAAATCAAATCAAATCCGGATCTTCCGGGCCTTACACAGTTGCACCAAATGCCTTCCATGTCACCTGCTTTAAGCAGGATTGTTTGTATTGATTTCACAGGCACTTATCAGGTAAACTGAATAATATTGAATTTTTCGAATATCGTACTCTTCGATAATCAATCAACAACAGTACATCAGCCATTTGAACTGATGCTTCGCTGCTATACAACTATGATGACCTATGGAATAAAATTAATAAGGTGAAAAGAAGGGGCATATTGGAAAACCTTAATGCCCTAAGCAAGCATTCAGGGTCAATGCGCCTACACCTTGTGTTAACAATATACCGTCACAAACAGCTGGCTATCGTGCAAAGATAAAGCGGCATCAGCGAGACAGCTTTGCGGATTTCACTGCCCTGCGTCATAATCAACCATCACCCCGCAGATAACTCAGCATCAAACACACTTTAAACAGGCAGTCTGACTAGGAGACAGGAGCAAACGCGCCACGGGTGTCGACTGCGAGCCATGTCCTGAAAGTCTGCAGCTAAGCACAATGCGAGTCACGTGAACTCCAGCCTGGTAGACGAGACGGATCGGCAGGAACCAGTTTGGTCGTTAGTGGCTTCATTTCTCGCTGCCAAGTCAACTTTTGTCAACCTCGAGACTTGCGCCACCTCATATCTGACAGACTAAACAAGGCTCTCCTGGATAGGGGGTGATCGGGCATACTTAGTACGTGCCTAAGCCAACGCAACTTATTCAGTGCTATAAGTTGTTATAAGAAACTAGCTTGGTTATCACTGCCTAGTACTCGCCTACGCACTTCATCGTTGCGGACACGCGGGTGGCACCCGACACCAGCATCGTTCCGCAGACAACGATGATCGAAGACATTAAGGCGCTTCAGAACGAAGGGGACAAGTCTTACTCCCCTAAACGGCCCTCATGGTGGCCTTGTACACACGGCGTTTTAGACGGAGGAAACTCCCTTCTTTCACCACAGATGCCGTAGATTCAAGAAGGCAGTTCTGGCTTTTGCAGTGCGTGGACTGATTTCAGTTCCTATGCGCTTATCGTTGCTGATGCAGCTGCCAAGGTAACTGAATCAATCAACCACTTCGAGCTCCTCATTATCAAGGGTAAATGGATCATCAAGTGGCTGGTAATCCTGCAGCAACACTTTGCACATTGAATGTGCGAAGCGCATATCGAATAATGGGACCACTCTAAAGATGTTATTTATGGTTGACTGTGCCGCTCTACTTTCGTTAAACAGTAAGACGATATCGTCCGCATAATCAAGATCAATTAGCCTTTCACCAGGTAAGATCTCGATGGGCACATCTTGAGGTACCGTAAGGGAACACTCCATGATAGTGTCCACGACGAAAGTGAACAAAAACGGGGAAATCGGACAACCCTGAATAATGCCACTTGTTGTCGGATTGCTATCCGAAAGGACACCGTAGACCCTGACGCGGCCTGTAGTGTTCGAGTATAGAGCACGTATGATGTTCACATATTTTGTGGGAACACCATTTCGCGAAGGTATTTCGAACAGAATCGATCGATCGACTGAATCGAACGCACTACTGAAGTCGAGGAACACAGCTATCGTCGGCCTGCGGTATGTATGGCGCTGCTCTAGCACCTGCTGCAGGGTGAATTTATGGTCTATGCAACCACGCCCTGGGCGGAAACCTGCCTGCTTTTCCCTACTCCGAGATTCCCGTTCCGCAGTGAAGCGACGAACGAGAATCGAGGCCAGTAATTTTGTCACAACTGGCTTTACGCTAAGACCCATGTGGTTAGAACAGTCTGTGCGACTGCCTTTCTTGTACATTGCCACCATAATCGATCCACTTCAGTTAGATGCGACACTTTTCCTTCCAGATATGTTCGAATAGGGAGGTCAGTGCTTTGCAGAGGACCTCACCTCCATCCTTAAATAGTGCAGGTGGGAGGAAATCCCTGCCAGCAGCACGAAAACGATTGGGGGCTGTGATCGCGTTTCGGACCTCAGCTCCCGATGAAGCCACTAAACTAATCGTCCATGCCCCGTCCTGCATCACCTGAGTAGGAAGAGGTCCGGGAGCAGGTGGTCAACTGAACCGATCTTGAATGTCTTCCGCCTAATGAGACATACGGAGCTTTTTATTGTGAATCAGAGCACCCGCGCTGTCTCTGATTGTCTCAATGACGCCCAGTTTCCTACGACCATTGGTGCGGATCAGCTGGAAGAGCTTGCGGTAAATGCTTACTGCTCCCGCCTCTTCCATTTCTTGAACCCGACTAGTCCACTAGACTACCTTATCAGCACGCAGACCGCTTAGATCGTGAGGAATGCCAGCGTTCAATCAACATCAGCTTCTGCCTGGCCTAAGTTTATCTGGTTTGTTTGACTTCGGCACGGCACTCATCGTCATCGGTTTCATTCTTAATTGGACTCAACTAGCGACAATCTGATCTAGAATTCAAACGCGGGGTTTTATGGCACTACTATAAACACCTTGTGTCACTTTCGCACGGTGCACCGCGAAAATACACTTGTCGCAGCAGTTGTTGATTTATATTTGTGTTTTTGAGCACCGGATGTTTTGATTGTGACATGTAATCTCATTTGTGACTTCGACGTACATTGGAGCAGGCCATAATCATTCTTAATACTTAGACTGCATTTGAATTGGTGATTTAGAAGTGTTGCTTGCAACCAACACTACGTTTGACGGCCTGCTCGTCGAACAAAGTTGCTCGTATTAGCCTAAAGCTAAAGGCACCAGCCAGTGCTACGACCTCTCGGTTCCCGACCACAGCATGCTCCTACATCGAAAATTGGAGGCATTACTTTCGAAAAGGAAAGTTTATCCAGAACTTTATTTTCAGAAATAAATAAATAAAACATCTGTTCGTCCAATGGAGGCGTGATAATACTCTTCCGGGGAAAGATGTTTGAGCAAAAAATTATAAGTATTTAAAACATGTTAACTTAGATTGAAGGAAATCAAGTTTCTTCATGGAACCTCATTATCAGATGTGCTGCAGCCAAATGCATCTTTTAACTTTTTCCACCGGCGTTTTTTGGAAGAAGTCGACACTTGAGGCGTATCCGTCTTTGTTGAGTCCTCATTTTCCTTTTCACCAAACAGATCAAGAGCACGCAACTCAGGATGCTCGGAGTTATTGTACAGGGCTTGAATGGCATTCTGTTGGGTAGCAAATTTCGTAAACTTAGTTAGGGGTACATGCTGAGCGGAAAATATGTTTTTTTCTATATTTTTGTATGGTTGGGCGCAGCCATATAAACGCTGCTCAGTGACTCTACAAATTGGTAACATACACTGTGGCATTGCCTACGGGGGCATACTCAACTGTGTTATCGTTCCAGAAAGACTTCCCATTCCAAATAGCCCAAGTCTCGCCATAATAAGGTAGAGACCGAATCCACACTCATCTTATCATGTAGTATTACAGGACTCTGATGCTTCCTAAAGACATCGACAAATGGCCATAACAAATGATTCCCTCCCCCGCCCCCCCCTCCCAGAAATTCACCCACCCACTATTCAATAAGACTTTTCCAGCAATGTTTCAGCGATCATAGTGGTACTTACCTCTGTGCAGAAACCGAGCTACGCTTATCTTCTCTTCAAATGGATTTCAAATATTTTTACCAATACAGCGTTGCTGCCCGTCCTTTTAAATATGTGTTTGGCTATCTTTGCGCTGCCTCACATGGAGTTGGCACAAACAATAGTACTACAACCCTCGAGAAAAGGCAATAAATTTTCGTGTATCCATAACTCAACCCAGCAAGACCCCTGTGTTTGTCTCTTTTTATTAAGCCACCAATAAAGCTATTTGTTTATGTTGACTGTTAACTTTCAGCCATTAACAATTCTTTGAAGCTAACCCGGAAGGGGTCACAGTGACGTCAGAAACCGTGGCCACACTTAACTATTACACGGCGCGCAAACCAGGCAACCCCAGATTCCTACATGAAAAGGATGAGAATATTACACTCGCTTCAAAGGCTAATGCAATGAAATTTGTTGGTGTCGAGATAATGTACAAAATAGTTGGCCTCCAAGCAAACAAACAGGAAAGAGAAAGTGCATAAATAACCAATGTTGGCTCCGATGTGTACATCTATGTCGTCGATGAATTTAGTTGTACTTCTCTGTGCAACTGCACAGTTTTAACTCAACGGGTATTTAGAGTAGTTAAACCGAAAAACTCACTAACCGTGAAAAGTTCCTCATGTATGTTCCGGCTGTGTACATGAATTACAGCTGCTCTTTGTGACATCAGAAACTTAGCTAGCGCTGGTTGCATCGTTGTCTTATAAAAATCCAGATGCTTTTCAATTGATTCAGCGAGGTCTTCATGCCTGGTGAGAAGTTGTTCCCCTGGCATTTTATACAATGCGGGCTCTTCATTGATACTTATACTCCCAGCTGAATGCATGCGCGTGTTTCTTTCGTAAATTCCTTGATCGTTGGGTTGATACAGGCATCCGGTCTTCGGATCAATGCGTTTCTGTGCCCACCAGCAAAAATGCTCCCTTTGGTTTGTCTGAAATATCGCCCAAATGGAGCGGATGGAAGAATCATTTGGATGTGTACAGCAGAGACACAAGTGCCACAACCAACGGAGCAGACTTACGTTTACATGCATCCAACCTCTATGATTGCTTAATTGGTCCGAAAACACAAATGTGTTGCTCATCGTTGTATGGGTGGTTTATTGTGATAGTTTTATTTGAATATGCGACACCAACAAATTTGCATAATTCAGCTATGAGATGTGTACGTAAGTGACCCTATCTAAGGTTTGTGGCACATCAACCATTATCTAAGTAGGAGTCATTCGTGAGCTGTGCGAAATGTTGAATAAGTGTGCATTAACTAGACCTCAGTGTCTCAAGTATCACGAATACAGAAGGTAAGCGGTGACTTGAGCGGATGATGGAGAGGATGGTGAAAGATGGGATCGCTGTGCACCTCTTGTCGCAAAACATAACTGGTTGGGCGTAGCATGGGCTTATAAGGTCAACATCATGTGTGCCGTGTCAAACAGATTTTTCCTAAACAAAGTAACAACGACAATTGATTCCAGGAAAGCAATTGTCCTAGATTTCCTGGCTTTGAGTAGAACCTCTGGCCGGGTGCCGCATACAAAATTACTGGTCAAAATCCGATCTGTTGGAATTACAAACCATCTGTTCGTATGATTGGTGGGTCAAGTTTGGACTACACGTTGTGTGATCGGATTGCGACGCGCAATCTCCATGTAATGGACTGTGATTCACATTCAAGCGAACCTTAGTCACTACGATCACTGGGACCGTACTCAAAGCAGATGGAAATTGGGTGTCGCCCACCCGGGTGGGCGACACCCAATTTCCATCTGTTCGTATCACTTATCAGATCAAAAGCAAATGGTAAATATTGATAATAAGTTCTCAAAACCCATGGCAGTCACCGATGGGATAATCTAAGGTAGCGTAATGCGTTCCATCCTTTTCCCTATCTACATCAATGACATATTTGAGAAAACTCTAACATGGGACTGCATTTTATATGCCGTTGGCATAAAAAAATCGTCTACTCCTTTAGCAGGAATGATTGTTGCCAGGCCCTTCAACGTATACAGAATGAGCTTCCATCCCTAGAATCCTGGTGTCGTCTGTGGGAAATGAATCTGGCTTCAGACAAATGCAGAACCATTTCTTATGGATGCCATATTCTATCTAAAGGATTCAGACTCCATGATGAACAACCCACACAATCCACATCCATTCGGGACTTGTGTGTGCTCTTTTCGGTTAAGTTTGACATTTCTAGACAATACAGTTGTCGAATATCAAAGGCTAAAGGAACAATCGGCTTCATCTGCAGATCGCTCGCACTTCGTGAAGTTAGACTTCAGCTGTATATCTCGCGTATGTTTGTTTGCACTAATAGGGGGAGGTGTGATAAAACTGATCATGAGAGGATGCAGAGGCGCTTCACGAAACAGTTAATAGGTTACTCCACTACTATAACTTCTCACGAATGTCAAGAACTTGTTCTTGACTCTTGATGGTTGCGGCGGTTGATAAGCAACTTGTGCTCTCTATATGGAGTCATCAATCATTCTTTGCATGCTGACGTCGATAGCGTGCCCCTAGGTTTCAGTGAACGGTACGAATTCAGGAACAATGCATTGAAACTTCTTGTGTTGATGTGCCGCAAGAAGACAAGAGAGGAATTCTTCTTGATAGTGTGTTCCCGGATTTGGAACAAAATACCTAAAGAAATTCGACAGACCAAACGACTCAAGAGGTTTAAGAGAGAAATACTGGGGTAACTTACACTGAATATTGCATCAAATATGTTGAGAGCAAGTTGCGAACTTAATGAAGTGCTGGAGAGTGGTGAAGGTAACATATAGCAAAAATGAAGAAGCTAGAAAAACTAATTTTAGTGTAAGTTTCTTCCTGTTCTTCGGTCATACCTTCTTTACGGCATCCATGTTCACATGGAATTTGATGAGGAGCAAGGAACCGAGTTCTTATTTTTAGTTTTCGGTCCTTTTTCTCATCCATGCTTATTCGGTCATGCCCACCTCGCGCCGCTCATTTCCCCATGGGAAAAAAGAAAAAGAAAGGAATCAGCAGTATACCGGTACGCGCAGTACTGACACTTAGATGCCGCTCCACCAGCACCAGTCAAACGTGGATTAGGGATACTGCGAGGGTCACCCGGTCCATACGTAGGCTCGAACCCGCCTCCTTGGATTACATGGAAAGTTTGTGATTCTTAAGATCAAAAGAGGACAAAAACCGCGCCAATTTCTCTGTCCCTCGGTTCATCTCTTCGCTTATTCGGTCATGCCAATTTGCGGCTGTCGTATCTACATGGGAGCCAAAGAGAGGAAATAAACCGAGCTTCTGTCTCCAATATTCCTACTGTTTAACTGCTTCGATATACGGAAGAGTGCTGATATAGAAAGAGGGAACCCCTTTTCAACTGTACCCATTTCCTAATACTTCCTAACGCATACTTGGAATCAGAATATAGGCAGATCCCCGTTCACAGGTTCCTCTCTGCTCCTGCACTTTAAATCTTTGAATAATGGATTTGTCACGGATATAGAAGCAAACGCTTAACACTTTCCTCTAGGTAAAGAGTGTGGCGATAACTGGATGTATCAGAATACGCATAGTGGTGGAGTTAACGCAACTTTCAAGTGTACATTGCTTGGTTACATTGTGGCTTGTCTCAGTAACTTGGGTTAAATCATATGATGAGGGCGGTGTAATGTATCATCTAGTCGAATTTTGAATTCGGACAACATAGAAGCAGATATGAAAAAATGCGGAAGTAAGTTCCACGGTTGGGATAAAGGAAATGAGAAAGTTCCAGCGGAATTCCAATCGACTATACTGTGTAGCCAAGTTCAAACGCTGGATTCTTAGGGATGTGTCATGACTGTTTCACTAAGGGTCGGCATGGGCGATTAGAGTCCTCGAGAACGGTACACTCCACTCATCACATGTGAGCGCGTAAAAACTGCCTGCGATGAACGCGTGAACGATTTTTAGCTCGATGCGAATCAATAGCAGAGAGTGATTGGTTGATACACAAACACGCGCTCCAGTGCAGCATTAGGAGCCCTCCGGTTGAAAAGTGACGGATAGATTTGGCATGACAAATGATTGTATCATCCCTCCTCTTTGGTTTGTGTTAATCGTCCCGAAAGCGCTCGAGTGGTCGGCGTCGAGGATTAGAGCAATCTAACAAAGGCTCAGTTACTGGCTGGGGGTCTGTCATCTGCATGGAATGGCGGATCCTGTTCAGCCCTTCTTTCTCGGTTCGCTAGTCTTGATAGCACATGGTCTAAACGGCGCCATACGATCCGGCCACCCTTAGTTTAACTTCTATGACCTCTCTGTTAGTTGTTCTGACGACGGTTGGCTCCCACTCAGAGTTTGCAAGTGATTGGACGTAAATAGGATCTGACTGTCACAATTCTGTCCCTGCTGCAATTGGCAAAATGTCCCTTCGTCCGTTGTTACCTTTCAGCAGTTTATGACTCAATGCTCCTATGTAGGAAATCTAATCGTATGCGTAAGCGATGGCCGAACATTAATTCTGCCGGGTTTCTACTGGTTGTCTCGTTTGGCATGTCATTCTACTCGAACAGAGAACGATCTAAACACACCCGCAGCGAAGCATTCTGTTGTTTCGTTACTAGAATTTTCACTGTCTGTACCGCCATCCCTGCCAACCCGTTGGAGGATGGCTGATAAGATACAGTAATTATGTGTCTAATGTCTCACAACCTAGGAAAGGTAGAAGACTCGACAGTGGAAAACGCTGGCCCATTGTCATACACTAGTGTTTAGGGGATACCAAACGTCGCGAATGTTGTGCGCCGTTTAGTTATGGTGCTAGCTGAATTTATTGAGGCCAGAATGTGGGCCTCAATCCACTTCGAGTCGGCGTCACTGATCAATAAAACCATCTAACCCTCGAAAGGACCGAAAAAGTCAACGCGTACGCGTTTCCAGGGTGTTTCTGATCACTTCCAAGATTGCACTGGTGCATGGGGGCGGCGTTTCCCTTCTCCTGACAGAGTCTGCAACTTCCAACCTTCGCTACGATGTTATCGTCTAATCTGACCAACACAAATAAAAGCAAGCTATTGACTTCATTTTGTCAACTCCTAGGTGCGCATCATATAGCGCATCAGGATACGTGGTCGAAATCTTTTGAGGACTATAGCTCGTGCGCCTCACAGTAAACATCCGTTCTGGATACAAGTGACCGACTCCTCAACGGTCGGCACAACATCCAACGTTTTATGATTCAATTTTGGCTACCGAGAAGGTGACCTGCTTGTGTACTAATGCACAAGGCATTATGAGTAGATTCGTCGAACTCCGTCATCGTCAAGCTTCCGAGCCTTGAGATGTCATAATGTGGGGGCAAGGAAGACAAGAATCACTGGCCGAACGGACAATCCGCGAAAACTAAGGAAGATGAAAAGCAACGAGGACACCGGGGACGAAAGTCAACCAAAGATCTCGATGTCCATAGGACAAGCCGGAAATGGACAAGGAACGACAAACGATGTTAGACCCAGGTCGAGAAGTGCGGGGAACGTAGTGATGAACAGCCCGAATTTTCGGAGAGATACGCGTTTGACCACGTCTCCAGCAATCACCACGAAAAGAGCGACGCAGCACCGATTTAGCAAGTCATGGGCATCAGAACGAATCCAGACCGGTCAGAATAGGACTGCAGAAGTGAAGATACGAGGGCGAATCGACGAGCAGCGGCTCCACTCCTCGGCTGAAATCGGGGCGTGAATGTGACACCGAGCGAAAGGACAAGGTGTGGTGCGTGGTGGTCGAGTTATGTCCTCTGTACATGCGCGCGTGCGTGCTAGCCTGTGAACCAGTTGTGCGTTGGCAATAAAGAGTGTACCCCTACCTCTCGTTCTCGCTTCATTAGTGCCGTGACCAATCAGGATGAAATTACTCTGGCCAGCTCAATTTGCGGACGGAGATGCGGAGGCATGGCTTG